GAGGAGGCACTGAAAATGAGGAACTTGTTGGAAGAATTCAAACGCTACTACGGTATTCGCAAGCCTTCAATTCTTGGAGTTCGGGAACATATATTTACTGGTTCTGTGTCATCCCTTGCTTGGTTCATGTCAGCTCAGGAAATGAGTTTTGTAACCCTGGGACAGCGTGTATTGGCCAACCCCCTGAAAATCCGAATGCATTATGGACATCCAGATGTCTTCGACAGGTTTTGGTTTCTAACAAGGGGAGGAATAAGCAAGGCATCCAGAGTGATCAACATCAGCGAGGACATTTTTGCTGGCTTCAACTGCACACTGCGAGGTGGCAATGTCACCCACCATGAGTACATTCAAGTTGGCAAAGGAAGAGATGTTGGGTTGAACCAAATATCTATGTTTGAAGCCAAGGTTGCCAGTGGCAATGGTGAACAAGTTCTTAGCAGAGATGTCTATAGGTTGGGTCATAGGCTGGATTTCTTCAGAATGCTCTCTTTCTTTTATACAACTGTAGGATTTTTCTTCAATACAATGATGATTGTCCTCACTGTATATGCATTCTTATGGGGACGACTTTACCTTGCACTTAGTGGGGTTGAGGATTCTGTTGCTGCAGATACCACCGACAACAACAAAGCACTTGGTGCCATACTGAACCAGCAATTCATCATCCAGTTGGGTCTTTTCACTGCGTTACCAATGATAGTGGAGAATTCTCTTGAGCACGGTTTTCTTACATCTATTTGGGAGTTTCTAACAATGATGCTTCAACTTTCATCTGTATTTTACACATTCTCGATGGGAACTCGTGCTCATTACTTTGGTCGTACTATTCTTCATGGTGGTGCAAAGTACCGGGCCACTGGGCGTGGTTTTGTGGTGCAGCACAAGAGTTTTGCTGAGAATTATCGGTTATATGCTCGTAGCCATTTTGTAAAGGCAATTGAACTTGGTCTGATACTTACAGTGTATGCTTCATACAGCCCTGTTGCCAAAGGAACTTTTACATATATAGCACTGACCATCTCGAGTTGGTTCCTGGTGCTGTCATGGATCGTGGGGCCCTTTGTGTTTAATCCTTCTGGGTTTGATTGGTTAAAGACAGTGTATGATTTTGATGATTTCATGAATTGGGTATGGTACCGTGGTAGTGTTTTTGCAAAGGCAGAACAGAGCTGGGAAAAATGGTGGGACGAAGAACAGGATCATTTAAGAACGACAGGTTTGTGGGGAAAGATACTGGAAATTATCCTAGACCTTCGCTTCTTCTTTTTCCAGTATGGCATTGTATATCAGCTAGGTATTGCTGCTGGAAACAAAAGCATTGCTGTTTACTTGCTTTCATGGATTTATGTGGTGGTGGCTCTTGGCTTTTTTAATATTACAGCTTATGCTCGGGATAAATATGCTGCAAGGGAGCACATATACTTTCGACTTGTGCAGCTCCTTGTTGTAGTCTTTTTCATAGTCGTAATTGTTGCTCTGCTGCAGTTCACAGCTTTTAGATTTAGTGATCTCTTCATCAGCCTATTGGCTTTCATTCCTACTGGTTGGGGTTTCATTTCAGTTGCCCAAGTGTTACGTCCCTTTCTGCAAAACACTATGATATGGGGAACTATTGTGTCTATGGCGCGGCTATATGAGATAATGTTCGGGATTATTGTCATGGTACCCGTGGCAGTACTTTCTTGGTTGCCTGGTTTCCAGCCAATGCAAACAAGGATCCTATTCAATGACGCATTTAGTAGAGGTCTGCGGATATTCCAGATTGTGACTGGAAAAAAGCCTAAGAGTGACTTGTGATTTGAGGTAAATTTTCTAACCTTTAGGCGTGCAGAAAAACGTTTTAAGTTTTATATCCTGCTGCAATCAATGTGTTTTCTGTATTTTTAGCATATACATGTTTTGCTGTGCAACACCACTTTTTGTTCATCATTCGTAGAGTGCCTCACACAGTTGCTACTAAAAAGAGATTGTTTCTACTGCCATTAACAATTTTCTGAATAATGATTCTATCACGTGTACTTTCTCTTTGTTTATCTGACTTCCTATTTTTTATGCATACAGCTTGCTTGCCCAGTTGTGTGGCATTTAATTAGTCATTGAATTCTTTCATTTTATTTTCCTTTTTGCCTTTCTTTTGTTGGGGGTGCGGGGAGGGGGGTAGTCAACATTAATATTCGTGAATTCATATTGAACCTGCAACTGGTTATACTTATGTACGAGGGACTTTACAGAAATGTTAATGCAGCATGTTTCATGCTGCATGTATTAGTTTGCCATTAAGCTAGTATTTTACCCAGCTCCATCCGTCTGTCTTGTTTTGATTTTATCTCGTTTTGAGCCAATTATGGATGAAAAGCTTCAAAACTCTAAGAGTCCTGGTTAACTTGGTTCTGCTAGGAGCTGTATTCTTCTTTCATAAGACTCTCCGCATAGATTGCTGGTTTTCACATCTAAAAATGATGATGTTTACTATTCATAGTCTGCATATCCTGTTGTGGACTAATATTATATACACAAGCTTTAGTTTGGTATCTAGTTTCGATTTGTGTTTTCTCTGACATGTTTCTCAAAAAAAGACTACTCATATATATGTATTATGTACCGGAGCTAAGGTTCTTAAAGTCTGGATTTTGATTTGGATTGGTGAAGAGTTTGGAAGATAAATGACAATATTCTCAAGTTGCAGTCATACTGACAGAGGCGGATCTAGGATTTCTAACTATGGGTGCATCACTGAAAAAGCAACGAAAAAGAAAGTACTATATGGGAGCCGATCCATGTTCCTTTTGATAAATAACTCAATATTCAACCAGGTGTATCATTCAACTTTTTAGAGTATGGGGGCCAACAGATAATAGTAGATTAATTTTACGAAATATACACATAAAATACCTAATTTGGCGGAAAGACCATGGGTTCACGTGCACCGTAAAAACGGCCTAAATCCGCCAGAGTCTACGCATGGCAATCTTCTTAAGTTGGCCAACATGCCACTGTTTCTGACCACTACACAATTATTCCCCTTAAATAGAAACTCTTTTGTCTGTATAGATCAACTCTTGACTAGTGTCAGAACCCTATATATGAAAATATACACCTTATTTCTCACTTTTCATAGCAAGAATATTGACAGCTTTGACTCTGAACGCTATCATGTTTTAGAAGGATGCTCCTATCGAGTTAACATAACTCTTGTGGGCATTAATCGTGTAGTGCTAGTTTCTAAAAGCCCATTTATACAGGGGCGGCTCAACATATTCGGTGGCCTAAAGCAAAAATTAAAAAGGAGGCCTTAAATTTTTATTTAAAAAATACTTCATATATATAATTTTATTTGAAGTTTATTTTTTTAGCTTTTTGAGATGCAAAATCATTAAATATTTAGTCAATTCGTTTAATCTTTCTTGAGAAATTATTGATATTAGATAAGATTTTATCAATTTTAATTTTGAAAAGCGTCTTTCAACTGAAGCAGTTGTTACAAGAACTGTTAATATTATTCTATAAACAATATAGACATTTGAAAAAGAACCAACTCTTTTTAACTGATTAACTATATCTATTAAGTATTATTTTTTTACTTCTACTATTTTCTTAGCACTTTTAATTCATAAAATAAATCTAAACCATTAATATAATACAAGTAATAAAAGCTAAAGCAATATAACTTGTTTTAGATGTTGATAATTCACTACTTCAATTTGCTTGTTGCACTTCGGGAATAAACAAAAAAGAATATATGCAATACTTTGTTCGACGCACTTCAGGCTTTGATTTTTTACAAAAATAATAGTAATTTTCTTTGAAGAATGGAGAAAAGGAGTAAAGTAAACTTTGTATCCTGAGAAAGAAAATGAACAAAGCAGAAGTTGTATATATCCTACTGACTAAGTTAAATATAACCCAAAATAAAGTCTACATTCACACACGTAATATAAAGGTATTGATTTCATTACCTAATTTACCTTATAATTCGCGCAATTTATATTAACCACAAATTTTCTTTTCTTTTTTATCAAAATTTTCTATTTTAATCTAATAATTTCCAATAAAAAAGTACCTATAAACACAGTCCCTAATACTAATAATTATTGGAAAATGGGGCCCCTCAAATTTTTGGGGCCTAAAGCACTTGCCTTAATGGCTTGTGCATTGAGCCGGCACTGCATTTATATGTACAACTTATTTAGCTATATACTTATTCCATGGAAACTAGTTATCTTCTGGCTATCTATAGCTCCTAAAAAGGTCTTATTCCAACAACAACCAACAATACCCAGTCCCAAACGGCTATATGAATCCTCACTTACCACATTACTCCATCTAAATTTTTTCATGCCAATTGTATGCAAATTAAAAAAATATCATTGTTTTTGTTGCCTGTCCTGGAATTTGCGTTTTTGAGCTTTCCTCAATTTGCTGGAGCTTATTTCTTGTGTAACTAGAATTCTCTTCCTTCGTCACTTTCAGGACTCAATGGAACATTTTGTATAAGTGATCCATGTACTTCATTGTCCAATATACATCTAACAACTAAGCGCGGTATGGAAACCTTCTCAACTCTTCAATTTTTTTGATGAAGCCTTCTCAACTCTTCAATTTGAATTTAAATTATGGTTCAGTTTGGTTTTCTGTGAGTTATTCAATTGCTTGTTCAATTTATCAACTATCTTGTTTAGAGCCGAATCATGAGGTCATGAATATCTGTTGCTTTTAACATTAAATATGAAGCCGACCTTTAAAAAGATGAATATAGATAACTTTGGGAGTTACTTATGAGAAAGATAGCATTAGAAGTTACTCATAAATAGAGAGCATTAGATTCACTTTCCGGTGAGCGTTTTCAACCATCTTCGGCATGGAGTTAAACTATGGTTAATTCTGATTTCTCGTAAGCTGAATTATGCGTAAATCTGTCTTTTAGCATTAAATCTGAAGCTGACCCGTAAGTATAGATACTAAGATAAAATTAAAAGCTGCCTGTCGAATCTTGAAATATTTGGCTGCTCTTATTATTGCAAATTTTTTACTTGTTTTCCCCGTTTAATAAAACTGGTCTACTAACTTAAATGCGCAGAATAGTTTACTACATTCAAGTCCATCTCAGAAGTGTTTTCACTTTGTCTTTATCCACTTTAAGATAATATAGCATATCTAATTAGTGAGGCATCAGGACTGCAATTAGAATCGCCCCAAGGGCTTTGGTTCTAGGGGTAAGAGCGTGGCATGATGTGTGGGTTTTGCGCATGTCACGGGTTCGAACCCAGACTAAAGCCTTGTAGTTGAGAAGGGTAGAGGGGTGAGCCCATTATCCACCTAGCTTCGAACAGTGCGCCACTGTTCATCGGGGATTTCGGAGTTTAAAAAAAGACTACAATTAGTATCGGTATTACGGAATATTTCCTTTCCTGCCTGGATGGTATGTTTCCTTCCCTTTACTAGTCGGAAACCCAAAATTTTACTAGTAAAGCACAAGGGGACTAGATTCGAGTAAATAGTACTCAGACGTACCAACTATTGGCTCATTTTTGTAAAATCTTACAGTTATAGTAGGGGAGAGGATCAATCTTATCAGTTGATTTTAGGCTGACAGGTTTTTTAATGGTCTTTGGCCCTTTAACGGCATTTAAAATGTAAAAGTTTTGCTACTCTAGTACAACTTCATGCTATGTGTTCCACTGGGCCACAAATCCTTGCAACCTGGTGTGCTTTTGGTAAGGCTTTTTTGGTACCTGTGCTATCAGCATGCAAAATTTGTACATGACACACATGTATTGTTGCTTACACGCTGTAGCGAGGGGTAACCTTTTCTTGCACATGCCGAATACATATTGTAACCGGGTATTAAGAAAAGTGGACCTTAGACTTTACTAAACTCCATAAGTTAGCTCATGAAGCGAGAATTGTCCAAACCAAGAGACTACAACTCATACCCTAAACTTAACACCCCTCCATGCCAGAACTGGACATTTGGAGTGTTGATAACATAATATTGGTCCCTACATTGGGTAACTCAACATCAGAGATAACAAGGGATACTGCAGGTTCTGTCTCCTTAATAAAATAAAAATTGGACTTTGGATCTACCTCAACCCCAAAAGCTAACTCATGAGTTGAGAATTGTCCAAGATCAGATATAAGGAGACTGCACCCCATACCCACAACTTGGGTACTCTAACAACGAGTGCGGAGTTGTCGTTTGCTTATTTTGTTTCTCTTTTCATGCTAACCTACTACAGATTGACCTTGATTTTGCCGAAGATACTTAAAATAATTGCTTTGCTTTTGCAGGGATGAACATTAGTGTGAAGTAGTAGATACAGTACAGAGTTTGAGAGGCTAGGAGGTTCGATATTTTTTTTCCTGTAGAGCTTGTAGTGTGAATTATACTGTGTACTTGGATTGCTATTAGTTTGGTTGAAGCAGCAGCCAGAGTTTTTATTAAAGGTTCATCTTTTGTAATTGTTGTAATCATATGTTTCGTCTGTAGTAGTGCACAGATGAAGAGCATTATCTCTTATTTTAGAATCCCGCAAAATTCATATAGTACAGATCTTTGAGTTTCTATTGTGAGCAACGTGTAGTGTAGTAGCAATTACTTCCGTATTAAGTGCATTTTTCAAAGGTGTTTGAAATATTAGATTCATTTATAGTTCTAATATAGAAGCTATAGCCATTACTCCGTTTTATACCTTATGTCTGCTCTTTTTACTTGCCGTAATTAATAATGAATTTCAGTTCTCTTCCCGTGGGACTTCTTTTTTCGTGTGTATTAATCATTGCACCCTGTGGCAAAGGAAACTTGTGATGGCTGATTTTTGTACATGGCCAAAAGTGTTGTCATTATCAGTCATAACCATGCCACATGGTCAATGGCCACTGGCAATTCAAAAAATTGAAAAAAAATAAAAGGAATATCGTCACGATATAAATTATACAGTGTTGTGCAAATCATTATTCATAAATTTGGACTATTGTATCGGCCGCTTGTTATCTTTTATATAAGCCGGTGCATAATTTGGTAAATATCGAATTACCGTATCGAAATTGAAAATTTTGGTGTTTGGTATTCAATATTTTGATATTTGGTTTAAGTTTTTAAAAAATATTTGTATTAGGTATGGTATTCGGTATTCAAAAATAATATACCGAAATACCAATACCATATCGAAATATATACTAAGTTACACAATACACATATTATTGATTATAAAATAAATATTCAAGTTTTACTTTCCGTTATTTTTATAGTTCTCTTTAACCTTTACCACCTTTTTTTCCCATGATACTTGCCTTTCCACCTTTTCTTTGGTTGGCTACTTACATTTCAATCTTTCTCCCTGTCTAGGTTTAGCATTTTTGGTGTCCATCCTTTTTTCCATTATATATTTTTACTTTCGTATTTGTGCGTACCTTAAAAATATTACAGTCTATGACTTTATGCATTAGTCAATATTCGAGCCAAACAAACCAAAGTTACCATATTGAAAGGAGAAAAGCCGAACCATACCGAATTTAATTAGGTATGGTATTAGTATTGCATTTCAAGAAACCGAATACCGAAAATACCGAACCGAATATCTAAATATTGTACCGTACAGACTAACGAACACCGCTACTTCTACATGCACATATATTGAGAAAACTCTGTTCATTAAAAGTTTAGGCAGATGAAAATGAATTAATTTCTGCAACTGAAATAAATAAATACATATCAATTATGAATTGACTCAACTTGCGCAAGTGTTGTGACCTTTCATTTGGCCAGATGCTAAAAATTTCATTAAGTCCACGGCCAATTCTTTATGATTTCATTTTCTTCACAGGTGTCTCCACGTTAGGGGACCTTTTGTCTCGTTGGTACTTTGAACAGTTCGACAAATCTCTTTATCTGACTTTTTTCCTAGGTAGGACAGCTGGTGTCCTTTTCAATTTCAAGTTTGTACAAATATGTGGCCTTATCGGAGATGAAAATATCCAATATCTACAGATAATGCAGGTGTCCTTTTCAACTTCACTAGTGAATCCGCCAAGTAGATTAAAAGCAACATTAAACACAATAGAATGGTGAATAATGTGGTTCTTTTAAACTCAAACTACACAAATAGGTGGTAAAAGAAAAATTATATTTTTATATATAGCGCCATAATACCTGGCGCTATACATTAACAGTAACGGCACCGTTAATATATAGCGTCAGGTATTGTGGCGCTATACTGTAAAATCTGACACGCTCAGGTATAGTGGCGATATACATAGATATTTTATATCCCCTCCGTCTTCCATGTCGATTCATCCTCCATTTTTTAAACCCCCATCTCTTCTTGGTCCCCCACCCCAGACCCCGTTTTTGCCATTTTTTTTTAAAAAAAAAAATTTGGGTCCCCCCGACACATAAAACTCGAAGAACGTAGGTCCCACATTCGAGTAGAGCTTCGTGTTATTGTTGATTCACACTTCCGGAGTAAAAATTTCAATCTTTTTGCTTTCCCAAAATTCTAAATCGAGATATTTCGATTTGTTTTAAGTTGAAACATTTATAATAATGCATATTATTTGATTTGTATGTGTTCTATTCGGTTTGTGTTTTTTTTCGAAACTAGCATGTTAAATTTATCCGAATTTAATATTAGTATTTTCTAAAAAAATATAAATTAGTAAAATAAATTTGTCTGTTAATATCCTGATTTATATATGTGTTTTCATGCCGTTTTGTATTTTATTTGCAATTAAATTGATTTGTTGTTTATGGTTAGTTTAGATTATTTTTTATCGTAGTAAAATCCAGACCTTTTTAGCGTAGTAAAACGTAGACCCTTATAGCGTAGTAAAATTTAGAGCCTTGTAGCGTAGTAATGTGTAGTATTTTAGCTTAGAATTCTTTTTGTTTAAGTATCTTATACTGGTATTTGAAAATGCAAACTTTGTACAATTAAGTTAATAATTGTATCAACACACATAATTAGTAATTTGTACAATTAAGTTATTAAAAAAGATTAATTTAAATTATAATAAAAACACATAATTATATATATATATATATATATATATATAATTTGTACAATTAAGTTATTAAAAATATGAATTTAAATTATAATAAAAACACATAATTATATATATATATATATATATAATTTGTACAATTAAGTTATTAAAAAATACGAATTTAAATTATAATAAAAACACATAATTATATATATATATATAATTTATACAATTAAGTTATTAAAAATATGAATTTAAATTATAATAAAAACACATAATTATATATATAATTTGTACAATTAAGTTATTAAAAAATATGAATTTAAATTATAATAAAAACACATA